ACCATTTTGTTAGAGGTTTGAAAAATTACAGATATTTTCACAATTCTGCAGAATTAACAAGAGGATTAAGCCCCCAACAATTTAGTCCTTTCCTCCCAATCAAGATGCCTTGCAATAAATAAAACCTGTATAAAAGCAAAAAGTATTAAATATCCCTAAGGCTAACTCAAATATACAGTGTTCACAAATGAGAAATGTATCTTCAGATAATACCAAGAGCTATACTATAAAAAAATCAAGATCATTTCTAAGTCTCTGCAAGCATATTCAAACAACATCCAATAAAATTTGGTTAAAATGGTTGTTCCCCAAAGCTATTCTGTGCTCACTACAGAGCAGGAGACCATGCTATCAAGAAGACAGAGACAGTTTAATATTGCAAACAACATTATAAGACAGCATGAAACTGTGCTTTTTTCCCCACATGCAGAGTGACACAGAAGCTCTATCTGTTGTGGCTCACATACTCGTCAAAAGAGTGGCCTCTGAAGCCAGACAGCCTATGTTCATCTCTCAGTACTGCACACTACTTGATCCCTTCCTCATCTGCAAAATGGGTGTTAATTTTATAAATTAAGCTTCAAGGTAGAGTACATAAAAATAAATGCAGATCAGTAAGGACTTGCACAACGCTGTAAACCGACTTGATCTAATAGCACATCTGTTCACTCTACCCAACAAGAGCAGAACATACTTGCTTCTCAAACAGATGTGGATCACTGCCCAGGGTAGACCACAGGCTGGGTGACAAAATGGGCCTCAGTAAATGTGGAAGGACTGAAACTACACCAAGTACGTCCTCTGACTCTAATGGAATGAAACTGGAGATCAGTGACAGGAAGAAATATGGAGCCACAAATCTGTAGGAATTGAACAACACAATCCTAAACAATCAATGGCTCAAAGAAATCACAAAGGAAGTTAGATACACTGAATGAATGAAAAAGAAAAAAACAAGGCTGGGGCTGGGCATGGTGGTGCACACCTATAATCCCAGCACTTGGAAGTCTGAAACAGGAGGATCACTGTGAGTTAGAGGCCAGCCTGGGCTATATACTGAGTTCAAGGTCAGCCTAAATTACAGAACGACACCCTGTCTCAAGAAACAAAACAAAACACCAGGGCTGGGTTATAGTTCAGTGGTAGAACATCTGCTTAGCAAGTAAAAGGCCCTCAGTTCATTTTCCAGCACCACAGAAAAGGGGAAAATAGCATACAAAAAGTGACAGAATAAAGCTCAATATGCAGCTATAAATACTGGTATTAAAAAAAGAAATGCTGGTTTTTGAATTAATAATTCCATCTTGTACAAGACTGGAAAAAGAAAACTTTAAAGCAAGCAGAACTAGGCAGTAATGTTTAGTACAGAAAACTAACAGAATAGAGAACAGAAAAACAGAAAAATCAATGAAAGCAAACACCAATTCTTTGAAGGATCAATAAAATTGATGCATGTTTATTAGCTAAATGCACTAAGGGACAAAAGAAAAGAATCAAATTACTAAAATTCACGAATAGAAGACAGGGCATTACCATTGAATTTATGGAATAGCAATAATTACAGGGGGGCACTATGAACACCTGTATGTCACACAATTCGATCACCTAAATGAAATGGCCAAAATTCTTAGAAAGACACATACGACTTTGAGAAGAAATAGAAAATTTGGAGAGACCTGTAACAAGTAAAATGTTAGTTATTTAAAAACTATCTAGAGAGAAAATTTCACATGATTTTACGATGAGTTTAGCCATTTAAAGAACTAATACCAACTGTCACAAACTTCTCCAAAAAACAAAGGAGGGAATATTTCTGAGGTCATTCTGTGAGGCCAGTCTTATGAAATGAAAATAAAGATACAGGAAAACTACCTGAATATATTCACAAAAACCCTTTAACAAAATACAGCAAACCAAATCCATCAACATTTGAAAATTATTATACACTATAACCTAGTGATATTTATCTTGGAATAGGGTTGAACACCTAAAACAGAACAGAATAAAGACAAAAACTAATTTGACCATAGATGCAAAAAGTAGTCATTTGACAAAATCCTATGTTCTTAATAAAAACATGCAACAAACTGTACCTAGAAAGGAACTCCCTACAAGTGGTAAAGGGCATTTATGAAAAACCAACAACTAACATATTTAATAAAGAAAGGCGGATTGCTTTCTTCCTAAGATTCGCAGTAAGACAAAAGTGTCCACATGCTTCACTTCAATTCAGCATTCTACTGAAGTCATGGTCTGGACAAAAGGAAAGAAACAACTGAATGACAGCCAGGTTGGACAGGAACAAGTCAAACTATATCCGCAAATGCAATAATGCTCTACATAGAGAATCTTAAGGAATCCACTACGTAACCATAAGAATGAATGGGGGGGTGGGAAGGAGAATAAAAAAGAATCAAGACATGTTAGACACATGTACTTACTCTCCAAGATGAATGTAAGTGAGGTCAGTTGAAGAGAACAAGATCAATATATCCTCTTTTGGTGAGGGTGTCTTTTTGAGACAGGGTTTCGCTATGCAGTCAGGCCAGCCTTAAACTCTCAATGGTATATGAATTATATCTCAGAGAAGATGTAAAAAACTACAGAGCAAATAGGAAGTCCTTAGTCCAGTGCATGAACCATAGGGAGACCACTGATGGTTATATAAATTGCACTGCCAGACATCCCTGATGCAGATGGTAACTACCTTTTATAAGTGTGCTTAATATGCTTATGTCTTGAATCACAGACAATACCTTAAAATGGAAATTTTCCAGATAAGGAGTGAGTGACTAAGCCCAAGAGCAGAAATGTCCCATGAAGGATCCCAAGCAGTTAGTGGTCAGGGGAGAAATAGCCTTCAGGGGGTTCTTCTCACCAACACACCTGTGCCCTTTGCCCATTTTCCTAGGAGAGAAGAGGGAGACCACCCAAGAAGTGAACAGGTAAGCCCTCTAGGATCCAGTGTTGAGCAGGGTAAGCAGAATGGACAAAGGATGCTTTGGGGGGGTGCGAGGGGCAAGAAGAACAGGCCTAAACAGAGGGCATGGTGGTACCAACTGGCCAACGTGGAGGTAAAACAGCCCAAAGCTAAAATGTGACGTAGCATAATGACACTACTCACACTTTCTTCTTTGCACCCAGAAACACTCAGAAGAGAAGAGGGGTCAGGTGTGGTGGCATATGCCCTGTGATCCCAGCACTCAGGAGGCTGAGACAGGAGAATCACCATAAGTTTGTGGCCAGCCTGGGCTACACAGTGGGTTCAAGGCCAGCTCAAACTACATAGCAAGAACTTGCCTTGATCCACTCCATGCCAAAAAAAAAAAAGAAAGAGGAGATGAGGGGGAAACAGAATGATCAGGACTGAAATTTATCAGAGATTAAAAGTTCTTTAAATATTCACCCATTTCAAAAAGTCATACTATACCTCACTTCTAGAAGCTTACATTGAGAAATCCATAAGCTTTAAATTATTGCAGTATTACTTGGACATCAACCGTTAACAGATAATATTTATTGAGTACTTACGATGTGCTGGGAATTGTGTGCTAAATTCATTATATTCTTCTCCTAATCCCAACCTACAGAACAAACACACACTCACAGCTGAAACTTAAAATTTATAAGTGGCAGTAGAGATGTGAATTCCAATGCATAATTCCCAAATCAGGAAACTATTACTATACCAATTTGTCCCAAGTGTATTATCACTGGCTCATAAAATGAATTTTAAGTGAAGTAAACTGGACCATCTTTGTATTTATACATAATGATATATAGTTAGCATGTCAATTATAAATTAGTTACATAAGGTTTCCTTTTCTATTTGACTTTTGAGTCAGCATCTCACTATGAAGTTCAGGCTGACTTTGGACTCACTACGTAGCCCAGGCTGGTCCTGAACTTGCAGTGATCCTCCTGCCTCATCCTCCTAAGTGCTGGGATTACAGATGCGTGCTACCACACCTAGCTGTAAGGTTTCTTTATATATTTAAAAATTGCTCAACTTTTTTCTGAGAAGGTGAAATTTTGAGTCTTTTTTTTTTTTCTCTTTTCCTATAGTTTCTTTCTTTCTTTTTTGTAGTGGGAATTGAACTCATAACCTTGCACCTGCTAGGCAGGAACTGTGCTGCTGAGCTATATCCCTGGCCCTCCTATAGTTTCAATGTTCCTAAAATATTTGTATAAAAGGAAGTATCCTAAAATTCTTTGTTCTATATACATGCCTCTATTTGTTTAACTGAGTAACCAATTTGAAGATAACAATATGTAATACAACCACCCTTGTTAATTTCCTATCACTGTGTCTGAAATTCTGTGATGCTTCTATTGTTTGGGTGTTGTTTTGTTTATGTCTGCTTGTTTGTTAATGTGTTTTTGTTATTTTATCTTTAAAATAAAAAAAATTCTTTGTTCTAATCTCTTAAAACATAATATAATCACTCTAAAATACTTTCTCATTGTTTTGGATAAATCATCGTGGATAAACACACTGTTTTCTGTCTCATCTCTAAATGAGCTTCTTTCTCAGAAAGACATTTCCTGCTGTCAGATTTTCTTTTCTCCATTTTACCCTATCTTTTCTGAAGCTCCAGGACCGAGTCATTTAACTACTTACTCAAAGATTCCAGGATATTATCTTTTTGGTAAGGTCTGCAGAGAATCAGGTAGGCATACGAAAAAAAATTTTTAAACGACAGTGGAATGTAAGCGTCCCTCCCTGAAGGCGCCTCTGTGTGTGATAAGCTTCCCACAGAAACTGCAGCCAGCAGGGGGTAATACCTGTTTCATCCCATAGAACCCTGAAGGGCCACAGACTCAGCCCAGGGATGTGTTTCCTGCCATCAGGTGCCCCCGAGAACCTGAGATGTTGTGAAGGGGAAAATAAAACCATCTCTGGACTTTCTCTACGAACTTGAGGACCCCGAAGCCGGCATGCAAGGCTTCCGTGGCTCAGGGGTGCCTGCCAGCTGGCAGGACAAGGGTGCCTTACCCACCTGTGCATGTTCCCATTGGTGGTGAAGGACTGGCCACACACAGTGCACTTGTAAGGCCTCTCACCAGAGTGCACCAGCATGTGGCGGTCCAGGGAGCTGGCTGAGCTCAGTGACTTCCCACAGATGCTGCATGAGTGATCGGCTCCTCCAGTGTCCGTGTTATGCTATAGGAAAAAAGCAATCACCACAATCCCTTGAGGAGAAGGACAAAACCTTGGCTGTTAGGACCTGCAGATCTAGAGCTTTACAAAAACCAATACATTTTCTCAGCTATTTGTTTGTTTGTTTTACTTTAAATATCTTTGCAAAGGACCGAAACATACCAGTGCTATGGTTTAGATCTAAAATGTCCTACCAAAGTCCCATGTGTCTGCTCAGAGGATGATGGGATCACGAAGGCTCTAACTTCATCTGTGGATTGCTCCGCGGATGAGATGAGAATATGATGCGCTATCAGGCAGTGATGGTGACGAGAAGGCAGGGCTAGATGAAGGTGGTAGGTCAGGCCATGACCTGGGGGATGTTATTTTGTCCCTGGCCCCTTTCCTTTTGGCTTTTCTCTCTCTCTGCTTGTCATCTGCCATGAAGTGAGCAGCTCTGCCCCACCATGTCCTTCACCAAAATGTTCTGCTCACCTCCAGCCCAGAGCAGACTGAAGCCTTTCCTATCCACAGTGGGCCACAGCGAACCTATCCTCCTTAAAGGTGACTATGTTACAACTTGGGCACTTCGATGGAAGCTGACTCTCAGGGTCAGGAACACAGGCAAATACCTGATTTGTGTGACCTTCTTCCATGTCTGTGTTCTAGTTTTGAAAAATGGTTCTACTGCAAGGATCAGAGACAGGTGGGGTTTTAGCAGGTCTTTCTTAGAAACACACACAGATTAACTGATTGCACATATTAACTCCTATGGCAGAGTCCCAACTATGCAGCGAATATGTGAATTAGGGTTCACACAGAGTCCCCATCCCTGCTTTAATTTGCTGACTCAGGCTGCTATCAGAGGAGGAGAACTGAAACTTGCACTGAGGACAGCTTAGGCTTCCGGTATCTGATGAGGAACATTTCCACGCAAACCCAAGCTAGGGACTTGGTGTTAGTACTCAGCAGCATGTTAGGGCTCTAACAGATCATCAATCCTTCACTGTTCTAAATTTGTCAATAGTCTGTCATGAGTAGGACAGGGAGAAGGATAAATCTACAAATCTCATAATAGAGGAAAAAATCTGAAATTGAGTAAATTCCAAGTTGTATGATGGAAATTTATACCGATATAAAGCAAAGGAATCAGTATCTACAACCTCATATAGTGAGGGAGCTGATTCACATTGACAAGTCACATCTGACTGCACTGGGTTTCTTTGTTAATCCAGGCTCTGTCATGGTACACACAGCACCACGAGCACACAAAAATTATTTCATAACTGTGCTCCAAGACCATAAAATATTAAATCAAAAGTAAGCACAGTCTACAATTCATTCATTAGAACCAAACACCTTGTCCTCTATGAATGAAGAAGAATTTAAGACAAAAATACAAAAGCTGCAGCCAACCTGACGGATGTGCATAGTCAACTGGTGTTGGGTAGTGCAAATCTTCTCACACAGCGGGCAGTTGTAGGAAGACTTCTCTTCTTTCATTTCCTAAAAAGATTAAAATGGAGGATGGATTTTAAGTCGTGGCCGACTGGTGCCTTCTATTTCTGTAGTAAGCCTGTGCCTGAAGGGCTGGCACTAAGCAGCTGAGAGCACCCGGCTCGAGACTGCCCTGGTACCGCTCAGGTGGTCACCTCTGTCGGCACCCAGTTTCCTCGTGCGCCAGTGGACAGTAGCGCAGTACGGACACACTGTGCTACGATACAGAATAATGAATAAGCGTAAAGCACTGCAGCAGGGCCTGCTACAGAGGATGTGCTCAAAAGACAAAGTAAGTGCTCAATAAACAGGAGCGTTTACTATGCAGACCACTTCCTTGTCAGTGGTGGTAAAAACAGAAGCATCAATTCCCTCCTCACTCTGCTAGGAACAGAACCCATCTCTCTCCAAGTCCATCCCAGGTCCAGGCAGATTTCCTGCCATGTCTTTAGGTCCCCAGAAGCATGTTAGGGCTAATGAAGATCTCAGAAGAAAATCCCACAGTCCCCCTGGCAGGAGCCCTTTGGTGCCCTGCTTTGCACCCACTAGGCCTGGCTTGCTTCTGCTGCCAGTGTCAGCGTCTGCTTCCCACGGCTGGTAAACAAGCAACAAGAAGAGCTCTGGTAGGAACGACGCCCCGACTGACAACTTCCACACATGGCAACAAATAACCAGCTCACCACTCAACGCAGTGGCTCATTTCACGTTCCCTCAAAACACATAGGAAGAGCTTCCTTCGAGCAGCATTTGACCCCTTTCTTTTGGGGGGTACCGGAAACTGAACTCAGGGCCTTGTACTTGCCAGGCAGGTGCTGTGCCACTGAGCTATAGGCCGGGCCCAATATTTTACCTTTTTAAGAAAAGGCCACCTTCCTTCACTAACCTTTGTTACAGCTCCTCTCTAAAAATAACTCATGGAGAGCTGCTAGGGAACGCCTGTCCTTACCCGCACAGGTCCCAGGCACCACAGGTCCCGTCTCTGTCCCCAAAACTAACCGAGTCCACGTTTGCACTCCTCTCCCAGGAATCTGGAGTTCAGAGACTGCTATCGGTGAGCTTCCAAAGACTGCAGGATTACCTGGGAAGCTCTGGGAAACACAATTCCACCCTTCTCCTTCCCTCCCCTCCCCTGCTGTCTTTGAGACAAGGCCTCAGTATTCAGCTCAGGCTGGGCTCAAACTCTTGATCCTCTTGCCTCAGCCTCCCCAGGACTAGGATTACAGGCACGTGCCACCACACCAGCCTTGTGAAATTTCTAGGCCAAACTCTCAACACACTGATCAGAGTTACTGAGAGGTGAGGTGAACCTCAGTAATCTCAAGCTCTCCAGAAGATACCCACATGTGCCCAAGTTGGAGAACAACAAAGGTAGGTGACCAGGAGCACTACCATGGGGCATCTCCAAGCCATGAGAGAGCAGCTGGGAGCTATGTTGGCGCTAACTGGAGCAGGAAGCCAGGTAGCCTGAGTTGGGGTCGGGGACTCCCTAGGGGCTGAGATATTCTGACTGCCCCTGAAGTGAGGCTACGTACTATTCCCTACCCTTGAACGTTTTTCAAACAGCCCTCTTTGTGTCTGCACTCCTATTATTGAGCACATACTGTGTCCCGAACTCTGAACGTAGAGATGCATAGTTCTTTCCCATAACAGCCACTATTGCTATTTGAACGAGGAAACCAGAATGCTGAGGCATGAGTAACCCGTTCCAAACTGGAGAACAATTAAAAAGTAGGCAGAAAATTAGAACTCAAGCCAGCTGCTCCACAGCCCAGGCCCTAAACCACAATGCTATATAAAGTCTAACCAAAAGAGGGATTCACCCCAAGGCACAGAAAGGAAACACCCTGAGGTTGTTCATGAGAGATGATGAAAATAAAAAGTCACCCTAAAGACCATAAAAACAAATGGCGCCATAAACCAGATGGTGAAGTGAAGTGCAGTGATGCCCGCTTGTAGCTGCCTCTCTCACTGGTCTGCAGGGACTAGCGCGTCTCCTAAGTGAGGCGACCCTTCTTCTCATCTGTGGGGACGGGTCTGAGAAGTGGATATTCCAGCCACACATTGTCTCCCTCTCAAACTCTAAGGAAGTTGAATACCCTAGAGACATAAATAAAGAAAGAAAAAGAAAAAGAAAGAAACCCTTGCTCTTGGTCAGTTAGCCACATAGTTCTAGTCCTCTCAAATATGTGATGGGGGACTCCTTCCCAGCCTGGTGCTGTAGCCAATCAGAATGGAAGGGGCCAAGGACTACCCCTTCCAGGAAACGCAACACCAAAAGCTACGAAACATAAGCACAAGCCACAGTAACAAGGGCTATCTCACTGGTGGGCCAAAACTGAGGGCCAACTTCAATCTCTGGGGCCTTTCTGTTGAACCATTAGATTAGCAATACTACAGATTAAAAAATTTTTTTAAAAGAATGACTCACTAACATGATGTACATATACATTAAAAAGCCAAACTTTAGCTGGCACAACGGCTTATACCTACAGTACCAGCTACTCAGGAGACTGAGGCAGGAAGAGTGCTTGAACTCAAGGAGTTCGGTACCACTCTGGCAACACAGTGAGACCACATCTCAGGAAAAGGAACCAGGCTCTTGCGAAGACAACACTTTTTCAGAAATCGTCCTGCGTTCACCTTGAAGCAGACATGACATACTCTGTACAGAGGCTCAGGGGCTGATTGATATTGACTCTAGGGTTGATCATTAACCACCACCAGACCTGAAGCCGGCAGTGGTGCTATGCAGACCATGATATGGGGCCACAAAAATCCAAAGTGGTCTGGGAGAGCAAGGTCTGTGGGACTCTGACTTACAAGTTCTGAAAGCAACCCACTTAGAAAAGAGCACTGTGGTGCTGGGGAAGGCCTGCTACAGAATGCTGAGCCCTGGTACTACAGCCGTGCTGGTATGAGCAGCACACTTCCTGAGCTGAAAGATAAAATTAGCAGCTAATGTGATAACTAACCATTTCATAATGAAACAATCTGTCGCCCTTGTCGGCGTCAGGCCATGGCTAATCTGTCCCGGAACTCTGTGCTCTGGGGCAGGGGCTTTAACCGCACAGCCTCCCTCCCTCGGCCCCCCTATCCCGCTCACAGGTGAGGAAGATGCTCCCTTCTCCCCACATCAGCCCCTTGCAGCTGGCTTCTTAAATTAGGTTCTGTGCTTGGCAGGATCTCCCTGGCCCAGACTTTCCTTTCAAAACCAAAGCAGGGGCACCAGAAAGCTCAGGAAGAAAGGAGGTGGACGACACGCGGCCCAGCTGCACCTGCACATCCGCTCCCACACTCGGCACGCAGCGATGGAGGTGCCGTGGGTGTCCTCTGTGGCCCTAGCGACTGTCTGAATGGCGGCGGGGACCCAGAGCCAGGGCTCGGGCCAACTCTGCCTGTGCTGGGGCAACGCTGTGCTATTTAGGGAAAAGCTCTTGCCTTCACTCCGCTCATTCCTGGTAGGGCACGGGAGAAATGACGACGATGACCTTGTCTGTCTTTTTTATCCCACATGCTTGGCACCTGGCACAGCAGCCAGCTGGGAGGAGGAGCTGGGTCTGCACTGTTACATGGCTGAGTAATGGAGATGAGCGGACTGATGGAGGGACAGATGGACAGATGGAGGGACAGGCACATGAGAGTAGAGATAAACCTTTTCTTCCCAGAGCTAGTGCTCCTTCTCGACTCAGGCCACAGTCATACAGGCTGAGTGTTTTCTCAGGCACCCATAGGAAGAGAGGCACATGGAAGCAAGGGAAAAAAGAGAGAGAAAAGAATCAATGCTCCAACTCTAAAACATCACTACCCACTGAGTCCTCCGTCTTGAGCAAGGTGTGGAGAAGTGCACAGGCTCCACACTGCTGGTAGCAGTTAAAATGCTTTCCTGGAGAGCAAGCTCTGTCAAAAGCCTCGACTGAGACTCTACTTTTGAGAATTTATAGATGTGCTGAGAGAATTTTGTATACAGACAGTTGTAGAAAGATTATCAGTGAAAAACCAGGTGTCGTGGTACACATCTGAATCTCAGCACTCTGGGAGGCTGAGGCAGGAGGATTGCAAGTTTGAGCTCAGCCTAGGCAACTCTGCAAGACTGTCTCTTTAAAAAAAAAAAAAAAAAAAAAAGAAAAGAAGAAAAAAAAAGCAACTGGCGATGTAGCTCAGGGAATCTGGGGTATTGCCAGGTGTTAGGGGGGGATTAGTAACAAAAAGGAAAATTAATTCACAAAAATTTGAGAAACTTGCTTTCTTATTCCTAGAAGATCACCTTCTCTCCAGAAGTTCAACAAAATGAAACATGCATTTGTCAACTTATACTGTGTGACCCCAGAGAACAGCTCAGAGAGCTATGCCTCCTGCCTCCCTCTGCAGTCTTCCCTACATGGGACAACACGTTGCTACCACAAGGACAACCTCTCCGAAGTGTCCCACTGATCCTTTAATCACAAGACTCATCTTATTTCCCACTGGAGGAGACATGGCCTTTCACAGCAGCACTCATCCCTCCCGATTCTTGTCTCCCAACCCGCCCCCCCATGCCGCCTACTTTCCCCCACTTCTCCCACTCCTATGCCCATTGAAAATTCAAGAGGACTAAACAGAATCTTAAGTGGACTTCTCTGGAGCCAAATTCTGTGTTTTCAAAAATGGAAAGCTCAGCAGCAGCCCCTGCACAAACAGGACTTGCTGCGTCTAATCCGAAGACATGAAAAATTAATTATATTTTTAAAAACCAAGTTTTAAAAGTCCAATAAAAAAAGAAATCACATCACAGCAGAGGTATTAAGTGAAGTTCACTGCCTTAACCATCATGTGAATAAAACTTGTGTTTAAATCAAATCATGGGGCAAAGAACAAGGGTAGTTTCACCGACACTGACACCACAGCAAAGAAAATTTCCTCCACAAAGGGAAACTGACGTAAGCTATGAAAAATCTACTCCTGAAGCAAGATCACAGCCTCTGGGTATGACTGCATGGGATGCACGCAAGCCTTTGTAGGAGCTGAGGAACTTTTCCCATGTTCTCACAGGCCAAACATACTGGACGCTACCACCCAGCGCGCGCATGCGCGTGCACACACACACTTACCTGGTTCCTTCTGCCAATCCGATTTGGTCCTGGAGGCTTTGAAGGGGACTTGATCCCCTGGGGGCTCCCACCATTCTCTGCCACGTTCCCTAAATTCATTACTGCTGACATCATGGTGTTGATGGAAGACAGGTCTGAGCCTTCCAAGCCAACGGGCGAACTTGACGTCATTGGGACAGGGGTTTACACTTCTAAGAAGCCTCTGCCACAGAACTGAAGACCGGAAATTACTGATGTGATCACGGTGAAGTTCAAGTTTCTGTCATAGCCAGGTGCCACTGGCCACAGTTAACGTAACTAAACTATACAGTAGATCAAAAATGCCCAACACTCCTTCTAGTTTGAGCCTATGCTCCTGATGGTACCCACGGCGATTTCAGCTAACCCTCAGGCTTACCTCCTGCTGAAGTGCACATTCCTTTGCTTTTCCTAATTTTTCCCCCTAGTCCTAGGGGTTGAATTCAGAAGGGCCTTTGCAGTAAGCTGCATCCCCCCCATTTCACTTTTATATTTTGAGACAGAGCTGTGAGTTCCAGGCCAGCCTGAGCTACCCAGTGAGTTCAAGACTAGCCTAAACTACACAGTGAGATCCTGTCTCAAAAAACCAAACCAAACCAACAAAACAAAATAACTCATAGATGAAACAAAAGTTTAACAAACGAACAAATAAACACATATTTTGAGATAAGATCTACCTAAGTCATCTAGGCTGGACTCAAACTTGGGATTCTCTGGCCTCAGCCTACTAGAGTGCTGTGACAGCAGGTGTGCACCACTGTGCCCAGCTGCCTTTCTTCGTCTTTTGAGCAGATGTGAGGGAGGTAAGCCAACAAGGAGGGAGCCCTGAGAGCTGCCATTTGGCCAACACCAATCTATAATCTATACTCATTTTCTACTACTTGAGGATTCTAGCCCTAAAAACCAGGTTTTATTTAACTCCTCTGGTACAATACAGTGATTTTAATGGGAGCCTCAAATTTGGTAAGAGATTGAAGCAGCCAATCTTATCAAAATTATAACCCAATTTCAAATTGGCATTAAAAAAAAAGCCAGGTTCTTAAAAAAAAAATACCAGTTAGTAACACACGTGTACCCCAGCAAATAGAGGGACCACCTTCTCGCCCCACTGCTAGTTACCTCCATTTTCTGCCCCAAGTGACAGACTTCAAAATTTCCCCTGGCTACAGCTATCATCCATGGGTAGCAGCAACGACTCTGTGGTTTTTTTTCTTCTTCTTCTAGTATCACTCGTCACTGAAAAGGAAACAGAGGGAAAAGATGTAGTGAATGCTTTTTCACTTAGCGAAGAAAACCCTAAAACCATGTATCCGCCATGGTCTCAGCCCACTATACTCAAGAAAAACAAGTAGAATAAGTGAGTGGCGATTTCAAAGTCCTTATCTTCCCCAATCTAATTCCAGGTTGTCTGCCATCCCTAACTAAGGTCCCCTACAGTGCTGCCATGCTCATTGCTGAAAGCTGAGAAGATTTTGCTGTGCTCTTTTTTCTGAAGCTCATGTTTATACAAAGAACTTTCTTTTATCCCATACCCCAACTTCTCACAAGGACTCTCAGAGCACCCCTGACCCACCTTAGGCCTCTACCTAAACTGACCAAAGACAAAACAGATATAGAATTCACTGAAGTCTCAAGAGTCTAGATGCTTTTTGAGTCAGACTTAAAAAAACAACCCTGGTAACACAGACAGAATGACCAAAGAGAGAACTATAGCCCGTGGTGTATCGAACTGCCCAAGGTCGTATGTATTTCCTTCCATTAGAGGACTGTGGCCACTCATGTGGTCACTGGTAATAAGTCCATTGATAAAATGTTTTCCTCATTTTATCCTGGAAGATTTTCCATAGCTGAATCCCTATAATAATATTATCTTAATATTCTGTTATCCCACAGCATGCATTAGTAAGTTTCAGAAGTCAAGCCTCCTTGTCCCAGCTGTAAAGAGTGTGCTTAAAAACAACGTAAGAACAACATAGCGTCACATAGTTTCTCCACCAACTTTAGGGGACTATGACAAATGCCCTCCCAGAGCAGCTACAGATGTACAGCCTTCTGGAAGCAGAACAGAAAGGACGGGGGATACTACTTTATTCAATGCTCCTCTAACAGCTAAGTCTCAAACTAAAATGCTATTCAAAGTGTCAAAGGGAAAAAAAAGTGGATACAAATGACAATGTTAAAACAAACAAAAAATAACAATAATAGTAGTAATAGTAATAATAAAAGGTAAGAGGACATCTTGGGAACAGAAATTTCTTTGTCAAGAGATAAAATGTGCCTTCCTTACTGCTATGGCTTGAATGTGTCCCTCAGAAGTTCATGTGTTATAAGTTTAATCCCCAAATTACTAGTTAATGGTATCTGGACATCAACCTTTGGGAGGTAATTAGGAGTAGGTGAGTTCTAGCTGGGTCTGGTGGTGTACATTTGCAATCAATGCACTGAGGAGGCTGAGGCAGGAACAGCCTGGGTCACACAGAGAGTTTATGGCCAACCTGAACTATACAGCAAGATCCTGTCTCAAAACAAAACAAAGCCCTCAAAACAAACAAATAAACAAAAAAGGATCAGATGAGTTCCTGAAAGCAGGGCTCCCATGTTAACATTAGTGGCTCTATAGCAGTGGTGGTGAACTACGTACGGTATGTGTGCCGCAGGGGGCTGTTCATATCACTGAAAGGTTCGCCATCACCGCTCTGCAGGAAGAGGAGGAGATACCCAAGCAAGCACCTTGCTCTATCTATCCCCACATGTCCTCTGATGCCTTCACCATGTGATAACACAGCAAGGGGACATCACCAACTGCTGAGCACATGGGGGCACCATGTTCCTGGACTTTACAGGTTCCAGGACCACACGCCAAATTTCTACTCTTATAAATCACTTGGTCCCAGGTATTCTGTATAGCAACAGAAAATGTATTGAGACATCTGTTAAAGGACATTCTGAAGACAAATCAAAGAGTTTTCTAAACAGTATGAAAAAGAAATAATTGCATACAATTTAAGATGCCAAGCTGGGCCTGGTGGTTCAGGGTTATAATCCCAGCACTCTGGGAGGCTGAGGTGGAAGACTGCAAGTTTGAGCCCAGCATGGACAAACTACCAGCTTAGCAAGACCCTCTCTCAAAATAAAAAATGGGCTGAAGATGTAGCTCAATGCAAAGATCCTAGGATCATTCCCCCGTAATGAGACAGGAGATTAGGGCATGGCAAACTGGCTAGGGAAGTAGGCATGACCTATCAATCACAAAGTTTCAGGACACATGCACAGAATAGTTCTCAAAGCCTTGTGCATGAAACCAAGCAGAAACTGCTATCTCAAGAAGTGCAGCATACAAAAGATGGCAGCCATGGAGCTCTTGCCCACTGCGTTCTCTCTTTCACAGTGTCCTCTCCCCTCTTCCCTACTTTTAATCAGCCTACAATTATTCTGCAAGCATGTTTCTTTTCTTTTCATACCTTTTATAAATGTAAAACTGTGCTACCCTTTGCACTTGTTTTATCTATTGCTTTGTTCAGGATAAGAAAAACCTAGGAAATATTACTGGAAGGAGACCCTACACACACAGACATTACACACACACACACATACACAAAACCAAAAAACACATATCCTCCTGATCCAGCCTCATCTCCCACATCCTTCCCCGTCTCAGCCAAAACAAAAGGAAAAAACCTAAGTCATTGTCTTTCCACAGTTTCTCCACGTTGGCAGACCATTTAACTACTGGGCTTCATTCTTCCTGTTTTTAACTGCCGTATTTATTTGGGTGATTTCTCTCTAGGAAAAAAACATGCAGACACAAGTGGACACACACACGCATGTACGCACACTGCTTTCCTTCATGGATTACGACAAAAATGTCCTGTTCCCTAGAATGTTTGTGACAACTGGCATGTAATTATGTTCTTGGCTCCTACACGGATAACCTGTAGCACTGAGTTTACCTCATCCTTTTAATTCTTTCTTTCTCTCTCTCATGAGATGCAGGTATTGATATGTATCTATTTATAGATTCATGTGTATGCTGCTTGGGACTGAGCACAGGCCTTGGTCGTGCTAGGACAAGGCCAGTGCTCTGGGCAGGAGAAAGAGGAGAGAAGGGGTCCCTGAGGTTTACTCTCTGTGAAGCAAACCTTGGCTAGCCTGAGAGTTCTTCCCCGCATCGCAGGCTCAACAGATCAAGAAGGATAAGCGAGTCACAGTTACAACTTCTACCTGACTCTGGGCCAAGTCTGAGAAGGACCTGGAAAAGGGGAGGATAATTCTAGGGGCAGGAGGAGGAGACAGAGGGAAAGAGAAGATTCAACATTCACCATTACCATCGCTCAAAGGAAGTCTATAAGGCTCAACTGACCTGTTTTCCTTATCACACTGCCCTCCTCACTGAGGACTGGACATTGGCTGGGCCCAAATGTAGGCGGAGTCACACCTCAAAGGCACTGCTTCCGGAATACAGAGTCGCAGTAACCTGTGAAAATGAGAAAAAGTGATGTTAGAGGGGCTGAGACCAAAAATGATCCTGTCTCTACATAAAGTCCTCTAATAACACCCCTGGGGCACAGACAAGGACTGGAGCCAGACCCTGCCCGGCTACATCAAGCTGCCATGGGAGGCCATCGGGAGTGGAACCAAGGGCACCCAAGCAGAAAGGTGGGAGCTGAGTGCGCAGAGCAGACAGGACCACGCCCCCACTCCAAGCACATTTCAGTAACGCTGAAGGCACCACAGGTGGATGGCTCCTGAGCTGCCTTCAGGTGGAGCTTTGACCAACTGAATGGCATAGCATGCTGATGGTGGATGACAATGATCCTGCAGTTTACAGGGAAAAGATGGCACTCAGAAACCATGCAGCTGGGCATGCTTCTGCACACCTGTAATCCCAGCACTCAGGAGGCTGAGGCAGGCGGATGGTAAGTTCCAGGCCAGCCTGGGCTACACAGTGAGACTTGGTCTCAAAAAGAAACGAGAAGAAAGGAAAGAAAGGAAAGAAAGAAAGGAAAGGAAAGCAAAAGAAAAGCAACGAAATGAAACAAAACGAAACTGGGGCCAGCAGGCTAAGAGAGTTAAAGAAAATAGGAAATAGGCAACTGACAGTGCCTTACAGTAGAGATTATCACTGTTTTCCTGAGGGGAACACGTCTGTAACATGTCAAACAGGACCAAATGTGCACTTTTTCCTTTCTGGAGGGGGCTGTGGGAAGCACCTCTCACTACACATGCCCTTCGTGAGTCGGATAAAGTCGGCTCTGGGTTACCAAGGGTCTTAGGAGCCCTGAGCTAGCTTCTGAGATGGAAGGCAGCATTGTCAAAGCTACAGCACAGCATCGGCACGTCCGTTTGTCTCTGCCTCTCGCTGCACTGCATCCGAAGCTAAGCCGAGGAGCACAGAACTGCGTGAAGACTCGGGACTAGAAAAGGGGCTGGGAGTGTGCTCAGCGGGAAAGCAGTTTCCCAGCACGCGTGAGCCCTGCCTGGGCTCTATCTCCAGGGCTGAAAGAAAAAAAGGGAGAAGTCGGAAAAAACCCATGTGGACAACACTTGCTGGGAAACAACTGCTTCTCATGTTTTCTCACTTTTATCCGCTTTTGTGGTGTCTGGAGATGAGCTGCCCAAGTAAGTCACAATTCTCATTCCACCTCTTCCGCAGCATAAGCAGCCTGGGCAGCAACCCTGCGGCTCCACTGGGCTGTGGGGTGGAAAGGCACCACCGCCTTGTCTATCAGCAGCAGCTCTTCTGACACCAGGATGTGCCCAGAAGTTTGCCTCTCCTGACACTGTACTGCTTCAACTCCCCACTTTTAACTTCTGCTGGTCACTTTTGAAAAGTTCTTTTGATTCTAAAGTATCTCGGAGTGGCAGCAAACTCCTGTAATCTCAGCACTCTGGGAGGCTGAAGCAGGAGGATCAAAAGTTTGAGTTCAGCGGGGACAACTTAATGACTTGGCAAAACCCTGTCTCAAAATTTAAAATTAAAAAAGGGCTGGAGATAAAGCTCAGTGCAAAGGGCCTACCCTGGGTTCAATCTCTAGTATGAAAAAAAAAAAAAAAAAAAAAAAGAAGACAAGAAACACAACAAATAAGGAGAGCAGCTCACAGGAACAGCCTCTCTGTGTGACTTTAAGCGTGCAAAGCCTGGTGACACCCTGATACCTCCCCAGTAGTGTCCAGTGTGGCCCTGAGAAGCTTAAGAAATTCCTGAATTCCACCCAAATGCAAAGACTTTCCAGGTAAAATGTTCCCAGTACCAGGGAGGTCGGGACCCCAGAAACCCACCCACGGGAAGCAGGGTAAGAGTCCTTATTTTACTTGATATAGAATCCATTTTCTTTTAAACGATTAGTCAAGTCTATTTTATTAAAATTCCCACGAAGTTTTCAGAAATGCACAAATTTAAAACATCCTCCCAGATCATCCTCCCCTCATCTATTTCAACTTGTAGATACCTAATGTGAAACGAATCACTTAAAAAAAAAAAAACTTTCCTTCTTTTATTCATTTTTTAATTAATGGGAGGATAAGGGTATAGCTCAATGATAAAAGCCCTGTCTAGTACACATGACGTCCTGGGTTGCACTCCTAGCACTGCAAAAAACTACCACATATATGGTATCCACATATCTGGTAAATTTTATTATTAAGAAAGAAGAAAATCTTGGCAAGGCTATGGTGGCATAAAACCTGTAATCCCAGCACTCACTTGGCTGAGGCAGGAAAGTCACAAATCCAAGGCCAGACTGGATTACATAGTGAGTTCAAGGCTAACCTGATTACATACTGAGATCCTGTTTCAAAAAAAAAAAAAAAAAAAAAAGGGTCCAGAAAGGTATACCCCATATTTTTTCCCTAGAAACTACTATATTAAGATCTCCAAAGGTAAAATGAACTATATTTCTACACATAATTTTAAAAGCAAATAATAAAGCAAAACTCACATTTCAGAGTTAGAGACAAATGTCTGGAACTGAGGTTTTCCAGAACATGACTAAAACTCCCATTACAATTTAGACCTGCTTCCTCTTCTCCTTTAAGAAACAGTACTTCAAAAAAACAAAAAGAATGGTACCAAGAAAAAAAAAAAACAAAAAAAAAAAAACAAGAAAAGTACTAGCTTTCCTTCAAAAACAGAGAACCAAGGGGAAAAGATTCTATGTTAGAGCAAAAAGGCCAAGCTGGGATACTTGACTTTGAAACCTCATCCTCTGACCTTGGGCATAAATGATTTGAATATTGAGAATGTTTTCCAATTAAGCTCAGTAACAGGAGTCACTACCCTATGTTTTTAGGTTCCATGAAGGCCCAAGAGACTCACAGAACTTGGAGTGTGGAAAAGTACAGGGCAGTTTTTAGAAGAAACTTCAAGATACCCCTCACCTCCATTACCACTGCCTCAGGACAAAAGGGAAAAAAAAGACTATTTATGCTCCCATAGGTCAAACAGGACAAAGACAGGCTGAGAGAGTTGGGGGAGGGTCCAGGATGCTGAATTTCTGGATTTTCATTTCCACAGGCTTTGCAAAAACCAGGCCGTATGGCAGAATGTCTTGGGGAGGGCAGAGGTCCTCTTGGGAGGAGGGGCAGAGGAAGGGGACCCGGCCCCCGTCCCCAGCCTCCCAGCCCCCAGGAGATAAGGGACAATACTTTGTAAAGCCAGAGAGAGAAGATTAAGGAGCCTGTCTCCAGGTCCAGTGAGATAGCAATGGAGAGATGAGAGATAAAGGGAAAGATGCTTCAGGAGCAAAGGGAGGCATCTCGGCTTCTTAAAAAAAACCCAGGGTTTTTGAAGTAAAATCTAACATCTGTCTTCAGGCCCCCAAGAAACAGGGTAAGGATGCTGGCAGAGGCCTGGACTCTACGGCACCTGACTGGGATGGTACAGTGCTGTGTCTCCACGATGCCTGCAAACGAGCACAGCTGAGTGGCGCAGGCCCACAAAGAGCAAGGGGCTCGGATGCTAAGAGGGTCTGAGCCCCGGGGGAGCCTGACAAGCAGCAACTACCTTGAAGGACAGGCCAGGCAGGGGACAGAGCCCAACCAGGCCAGCTGTGCTGCACTGGCCCAGCCTGCTTTCCTCCCGCCTGCAAGGCCTGGGGCAAAACTGCCTTTTCTGACTAGGATGGCCTTGCATGTGCACTGAAGGCTGAGACAGCTGGGATGACGGCTCTGAGTTCCAGGAAGTTGATGTGTTTCTTGGCTTAGGGTGTGGGCTGTGCCTTGGATAGGGCGGCAACCCATGAAAGTCACCCATCCCACCCTGCCTGTGGCTGGCACGGCTCGGGTAAAATGGAGCCTTAGAGCATCACGCAGCACCTCCCAGCATCCAAGCAGCTGCTCTAGGGCTTCTCTGTGGGTGAAGACAGACTGCTAAGAAAGATGTGGGGTGCTCCTCTGGGCACAGAATACATTCAAAAGAGAAGTTCAGGGCAGGGGGTAGGGGGGCAGGGGGCTAGGGAGCCAGGGGGGCAGGGGGCCAAGGGGCAGCAATTCTAGAACCCAAGACGGCTATGTGAAACTCCTTTGTGGCTGGCTTCTGAGTTCCAACACTCCCTGTCTCCTAACACTGTAGAAACAGTCAAGCTCTCCACCCTCCACTCGGGGGTCTTCTTACTTTGGCCGAAGCTTATCTTCGGACTCTGTTGGCTGCCAGTTCCCATGGTTACCTCTGCGCTCAGTTCCTTCTCCTAGAACTGCAGTACTGGGACAACATCTTGCACAACCACTGTGCACATGATGCCCCCCAATTCCCACTGATCCAGGGCTCTGGGTTCCAAACCCCAGGACAAAACTATCTCTGAGTCTGCCATGGTACTTGGGCCCTGGGTACCGTATACCAAGTACACTGTCTTACTTAATCTTCATCACGACAATGCTGAAATTAGTCTTACTGCATAGATGAGAAAACTAAGGTTTAGAGAATGGAATCATTTGTCTCCGAAGTCCTACGGTGTTGAATGGGAGAGCAAAATGAACCTTGTTCCTGAACTCAAGTTCCTCTTAGACAAAACGTGCGGCCCCTGGCACAGGGCTGAGGAGCACAGACACACTCCCTCAGTCACGTTGTTCTCTGCCGTCTCACAGTCTCACTTTGAGTCACCCCTGCCCTTCCAGATGCTTGATGCTAGGCCTTCCATTCCCACCTATTTCTGGACAGGAAAACAGACACACACCCCTGCCCACCTTCTGCCTCCAGCAAGAGGCCAGTCTGGGCTTCACCTCTGCAGAAAAAATTTACTGTGATAGGCGAGGGTTTGGAAATGCTGGGTTTGCCCTGCAAACTGACAGGAGCCTTCACAGTCTACACCCTCGAGCTCCAGCAGCAGCCAGGCCAGGGAGGCTCGAAGGCAGCCCTGAGGCTTGGCTTGAATCCCAAACAGCCTTGTCCTGTCCAGTGGCTGATGCAACTGATCTACCAACGTCACACAGGCACCCAGGTTACCTCTGCTTCCATGGAAATCTTGTGCAGACTTTGAG